AGGCTGAAAATGAAGCCAGGGAAAAAAGAGAAAACCAGCAAAGACCTGATGATGTCATCCAGCTAGGCCTAAGGTATAATATTAATATGAAAGTAATATGTAACAGGTAATAAAATAATAATTACATTCACATTTTGTGGTGGTTTACTTCAATAATCAAGTAAAAGCGAGGTATTTCTTCTCCAAGCAATCAAACACAATTTATTTTAAAACTAGGGTCGATTGCATAAAATAAATTTAGCCAAAACTTTCCTGATAGACATCTTCTCTCCAGGCTCCAAGCTATTGTTCAATCAAACCAGTAATCTTCCCAGTAGTCACAAGTGATGTCATTTCATTGAAGAGTCAAGTCTGAACCCAGCCATCTTTTCATTCTCTGTGCTTTCTAAGAATGTTCTAACAATTTTCAAGACACATTTACTTTGTGTCCATAATTGCTCCATTAAAACTTTTCTTCTACATATTACTGCAAGAAAATCTTTATTCATACTTATTTCCAAAAAGAACTCATCCATTTTCCCCAGTTTTCTGTGGCGAGAAAAACCAGACGAACCCAGGCAGATACAGCAAACAGCGTCTCTCCTACGTGGGCTTCTCTGCATTAGTGACCAGACCAGAGAGATGCCTTCGTTGTTGTTTTCACTGTGGTTACAAGATAACGGCATCAGTAGCCTTTCTTTCCTCTGAATCTTGATCTGGTATCCAACTGAAAATGAAGACACAGGTACACTTTGTACAACAAATGTACTAACTCTGACAAGGAATGTCACGATGTGAGAAAAGTAAACTTGTCTTCAGAAAAAGCAACACAGTTATGGTCAGAGCAGCCAAGAAAGCAGTGATTAATCCAAGGTGGCGCGAAAAACAAAATGTGCCACTTAAGGTTAAGCAGCATGGACCGACTTGTCAAATAGAAGCCACTGTTCATCCAAATGACATTAACTGCACACCATAAATGCTCTTCTCCTAGCAACATTAATGTTCTCAGTAGGTTCTGTTTAGGTTAACAGTGGACCGTATTTAAATAAGTAACAACTGAGATCAGGGAAAAGGCCCTGACAAAGGTAACGCAGTCATTTGGGGATTACAAGTCCTTAACAGTGGCCAACAGCATGGTCTTTGACTTAAGTCTTCCAGTGCAGCCATTTCTAAGAGTGTGTTTTTGCGTGTGTGTGCAAGGTTCTAACACCAGCACATCAGGCTAAGTTTCGTAGTCACCATCACTTCAAAACTTCCTCAGGTTTTGGAGAGACACTAGCAGTGAGCCCTGCACAACAGCATGAGACAGACAGTGGCTCGGCGACGAGAGAACAGCAGACTCCCATCTCGTCTCTCATAAGCATATGCACATGATTTGGGAATATTATATCATTTCAATTTTTGTTTCTACCAAGCATAGACAATTTAGGTTGCGCTGGTTAGCTCTGAAGTGACCACTCGTTTTGTTGAACGGTCATGAAGGGCTTGCAGAAAGATGTTAAGAAGCTTGCCTTAAGTTCCCTGGAATGCTCTCTCTAGTATTAAGCTATATAAGAGTCTGCATTATACTTAGAATGGGTACTTTAACTCACCCCCCCCCCCGTATTGTTTTAATTACAGATTTCCGCAGAAGGTAGATATATTGTGAACATTTTAAAAATGTTCAGACTTGTCATAATTTTGTATAGACTGACAGAAAATTCAGAGCACTTATGGTAAATTTAGCCATTTGATATGACTGGTTCAACTCATCTTCTATGGTATTACGATTTTCAATGATTTAAACAGGCTTTGAAATCTTCACATTTTCATGGGCAGCAAAACTATTGAGGAAATGCAAGGAAAAGCCCCTCGTTTGGACATTCAGTGACAAGCTAACACGGCAGAGAGACAGTCTAACTTTGCAGCCTCCCTTAGCTGATGAGTTAGCAAACAAGCTCCAGTGCTCCCCTTGGCTTCCTGGGTCATATACATGCCCAGACCCTTTGCTTCTCTTGTCACCAAGTCAAAAACCAAAACCAAACCCAGGCCATGGAGTCAATGCTCATGGCGACCCTACAGAACAGGGCAGAACTACCCCTGTGGGTTTCCGACGCTGCGACTCATTATGGGAGTGGAAAGCCCTGCTTTCTCCCAAGGGGCCGCTAGTTCTTTCCAACGGCTGGCCTTGTCCTTAGCGGCCCAACACATGACCACTAAGCCACCGGGGCTCCTCACCCAAAAGAGAAGGGATTTACCGTTTCTAACAAAAGCATACTCAGACCCATGTCATACGCCCATGCAGTGTGAACACACTGCTTTCTCAAGGCGTGTATTACTCAGTTTCCATGCTAAATATCCTTTTAGAGCTAGCAAATCTAAGAATGTCAGCGTATAAATCCCAGAAATTTGTAATGGGTCTCTAGGGCCCTTTACACAACCCATCATTCTCAAAATTCAAACATAGACATACTATACTCTCTTCTGGTCACATAAACCATAAAGCAGAAATTTAACACCTTAGGCCTCCACTTTATGGGTTCATATATTAATTGCCAAATGGCCTGAACTCGGTGGTTAATATCAGTATTTACCCATTGATACTGGCCATACTGCCACATCACATTTTCTAATACTCAAGGTCAGCAGCTGTGGTGAGCACAGGGCAAAACAGCAGAACAACAACGCCAAGATCACCATTGGCACGTACGGTAGTGGCTCTTAGATGAATACTCACTACACATTTAACTTACCAGATCAAGTTTTTCCGAACGAAATCACTGTCACCTAGTTCTATTGAAGTCATGCACACATTTAATTCCATAGCATTTGCTTTTGAAAATCTTTAATCACTTACCATTGACCTTTTACATTCAAAAAATGAGTATTGCAGGGCTCTGCAGGTCCCTTCCTTCAAGCACTGCCGCGGAGTTTTCCCTTCCTGCAACACATACAACATCGTCCAGTAAGAACCCGGGCACTTTTCTCACAACGTACACGCTATCTATCAGTCCAGTCGAAAACAGTTCCTTTTTAAAAGTTAAACCAGAAGGAAATTGTGAAAACCAGTCATTCTGACTGCTCTTGCTTAAGGGAAAAGGGGCAGAACTTGGGCTTGAATTGAATGATATACTTTTCTTTGACAAAATATTTGTATTAAAAATCTGGTAACTGACACCCTTATCTCTTGATAGGTGAGGAGGGAACATATAAACGTGACGGTAGTAGCAGGGTTCTTCAGTAATCCTGAACTGTTTATACGCCCAAGAGCTACTAAAGAACTACAAGAAGCACACTGCACGGGAGAGAAAACCTGAGAGACCAGGAATGCTGCTGTGGGAAATGGGGCTGTCTTTCTGGAAGATTCTCTTGGGTGGCTTTAAAGTCTCAAATTTTACTTTTCTTCAAGTAATTTTATCTTCAACATCACTCTGCAATTTCCCCAACCTCCACTGTCAGGTTACTACTGTGAGCAGCTCTTCCAACCGTTGGAAGAGAAGGGAGGGGAGCTGACAGCATCCCTCTGTACCACTGGGAGAAGAGGCACCTGGGCCCGAGGCGAGGCGAGATGATCTAGCTTTATGTAGTAAAAGCTCAAAGGATGTTTCAAGAGGAAAACAGCGCCAAACAGTGCCCTGCCCACCACGGAGGCAGGATGCTCCTGTAAGAAGTCACTGGATCATGTGAGACTATTTCTGACTTAGTAAAATCACTCTAACCAGTTAGAATGAGGCTTGGCAACGTATTCACTTGAAAAATAGGTAAGAGCTAAAACTTAGAAGTATTTTTACTTCAAGGCAAAAATGGAATAAAAATAAGAATATTAACACTTCATTACTTGTAAAGGTTTTGAACATATCACCAGAAATTTAACTTTAAAAAAGGTACTTAAGTATAGTACGCACATGAAACCACTTCCAGAAAAGCCATTTCCTAATTCAAAGCGTAAAATAAAACACTGTCCTGTAGTGAAACTTCCTTTGAATTGCCTACTCTAGAAATTTGTCTTGTACTCAAACCTGCCTTCCCAACGCCTACTTTATGGAACATATACATACTCAGGACACTGATAGGCTCAGTCAGAGAGTAAACTATACCTCCTGGAGAGTCCCTCCCCATCAGGGCTTTGACTAGATGGGAGACTCTGGACCCAGGGAAACGCTCCCTGAGAAAGTTGTGGGAACATCCAGGGTGTGGGTGGAAGCCTG